TGCAGCAGTCTGGCATCATATAATATGATGGTGAAATGGACAAAGCCTGATGACTTTAACGCCAAACTCTACTCCAGCACTCTTACACAACAGCAAGGATATGAAGAGAGGGATGAGTGGGGCCAGAGTTATTTAAGTAAAGCTTACACTTCAATCAATAAGGATCACCCTCTAAAAACATTCAATTCAGACAGGCTCAACAACCAATCAGATTTCATTCGGCTTGCTCTTATGATGTGGGCATGAAAAATAGAACTATATCGATATTTTTCTATATATTTTATTCTTTTTGTGTTCTTTAAAATATGAAGCGTAGGTCCTTGGGTAAAAGAAATTCAAAATGCACCGTTGCCAGAATACCAATACCTGTATATATAGTTTGAAATACCTTCAGAATAATGTGATAAACACAGGATGATGTAGGTGCATGTTTGTGTTTCTGTGTTACTTCCTCCCGCACTTTACTTCTATTAATAGCATTGACCTGTAAACTCCTCACTTCCTATGTGATCGTCTCAGAAAACCACGAAGCAGCAGTGACTGGCTATCTTGAGTTCCAGCACCTTAGAAGCTGATGTTGTTTCACCATTCTTTATTTACTGGCATGTATGGCAAGCTGATAGTAAAGTGAAGGTTAGTTTTACCGGACAAAATTAACCAGTATATTCAAACACTTGTTTACAAACAGACTATGGCTTTACAATATATCAACTCTTTTATCAAAATCGCAATATGGACTACAGCAATACCCAAATCGCAGTAAGTGCAATATTAAAGGTGGGGTAGGTAAGTTTGAGAAACCGGCTCGAGATACACTTTTTGTTATATTCCATGGAATGCTCTTAACATCCCGATAGCAATGAATATCTTAAGTGCTTTGACAAAAAATCCATAAAAAATCGTCATCTGTGGAAGCCGTAGTACTGTAAAAAGCATGACCAATCATTTTAGCCGGCCCGGCTAAAATAACTGGATGGCCTACCTGCCTGTCAGCCTTCCATCTGTGCACAAACTTATCTCGTGCCCTCATTGGTCATGTGCGCGTTCGTGTGTGTTGGAGGAGGGGCTCTATAAGGAAGTGGCAGATTTTCTCCTGTTGTGTATTTTCAAATTCTAGCGATCTCGAGCCGGTTTCTCAAACTTACCTACCCTACCTTTAAGTAAAGGCAAAATATATAACAAAAATCTATCTGAATTAAGTATTATTATATGTGAAGTATAAGTGCTGCAACGAAGCCCTGGTATTTAACAGACCTAATAAAAAAACCTTGTTTGGTACAGATCCCGTTAAAAATCTCACTTGATTGTTTCAAGATATTTTCAAATGATAATAATAATAAATGTTTTTTACAAATTGTTATTACTTCTAATATCACAAATCATCACAACTGCAATATCAGTCCAAAATCTTTGCAATTTCTGATATTTGCCAAATCGTGCAGCCCTAAAAAAAACGAATCTTCATGTACAGGTGGTACTAAAATCTTTAATTTGTGCTAAAGAAAATCGTATTTCTTCCAGCTGGTGCCTTATGAATTATGAATTAGGGTATTACTATGATATATATACAGTACTGTATATGCTTCTATACCTATTAAAATGGCCATGCACTTTTAACAGAGACAAACAAACTAATTGCTGCCCTGCTTTTAGGCTATTTTTCCTTTTACCATGGGGGAAAAGGAAAAACCTTTATTAAATGAATGAAGTTGTAGTCCTTACATGTGATGAAAATGAAGATGAAACAGATATAATTGAGTGAGAGCTAAATAACTGGTTACAGTGCAACACTAGACCGAAGAGGTCATGTGAGATTTGACATTTCCTATTCATCTCGTTTACTAATATACGAGAGCGACGGGCATGCAGCTCTAATGAGTCATGTGACCTTAATGTGACCTGTCACATCCTGTTAGTCCTTTAACTTGAATATGCCAGGCAATACGCTCATCATTATTACTTATGAGCAGTAATATAAAAAAGATGTGTTATTTAAAATATAATTGGTCACGAGAATTAGAGTACGTGCTTGCTGCTCTCTAATGCCAAACGACTTAACCCACATTCTAAGAGTCAGTTTGTCCCTGGGAAATAATGTCTGATGTTAACTAGAAATGTAGTAAACTAGAAAAGTGCACTCATCACCAAGGGTGTCATCCCAAATGAAAAGAAAGTAGAACCTCAATCAATCTATCAATTGTCCCCTAACAATTCCACAACAGTCTTGTAGCGCGCCTATATGCCCACCACCAAAAGAGGTTTTTTTTAAACAAAAATCACACATAAATCTCAGGCTATTTGGTACAGGAGTATGCGAGTGCACAGAAAAACAGACAGATACACGTACACCACGCACAACCCAAAACATGTCTTACGCCCATGTGAAGATAATGATCTATAATAGTTATTTGCAGCAACAACTGTCAAAAGATCATTCATTGTGTGTATTCAAGTCTGCAACAATACACATCGTCCTAATGGGGACATAAATACCCAATTAAATGGCAGTTTATCCACCAGTTTGTCAAGGAACCTCACCTAAAGCCACACTTGTCAATATTGTCATGGCGCAAAAGGTAGCCAGGAATTTTAGGGTTCATCCTCTGGGAAACATGAATATTGGTATAACATTTTCTGGCATCCCATCCGCCACTTTGTTAAAGTATTTCACTCAAAACCACACATGTCAAAGATGTCATGCTGAAAAAGGAAAAGCCAGACATGTTAGGGGTTCATCCTCAGGGAACCATGACCATCAGTATAAAATCTCATGGCAGCCCATCCATAGTTTCTCAAGGTACTTCACTTAAAACCAAAATGTCAACTATGTCATGCTGCAAAAAGCCAGCAATGTTAGGGGTTCATCCTCAGGGAACCATGACCATCTGTATGAAATGTCATGGTAGCCCGTCCACTAGATTTCACTCAAAACTACAAACGTTAGGGTTCTTCTTTTGGGGACCATGCCAATCCATTTGGTAGTTGTTGAGATGTTTCAGCCTTGACCAAACTGGGGACACTGACATCCCTAAAGCCATGCCATAGCCAACATTCAAGTTTACCCTGCCTATTGTCAACCCTGATATCCCTTCACATCTATCTGCTCTCATTAATCAACGCTGTATATTCAGTTCCCTAATGAATGCTAGGGTATTCTCAGATGCCAGGCCTCAGAAGCAAACGTGACGTGATGAGTATCTCGCGGCTTGTTTTACAGTGATACTAACATGATGTTCTGTCAAGCTCAATGAAGATCATGTCCCTCCGCATCTAGAGGGTTTGTCTTCGGGCGCGGCACGTCTGCCACTCCCTGGAATACTTAACATGCAAAACTCGATCCTGTCTGCATTGAACAGTAAGCAACAACATCATGGGAACTTGTTGCCATTTAGAACATCTCTCACTAAACCAGAAATGTTGAATACACCTTGCGTCATTCCACTGCCTGATTCACCTTAGAAAAAAAAGGAAAGGACACAAGGATAGAAGGTTTTTGTTAAGCCCCTTAATGCTAATTTGTGGTATTGAGCTATATAAATAAGCCTTGACTTGATTTAATTAGCTTTTAAATGGTGTAGATGAGAGTTAAAACCTCAACCAGGTTCATAAGGTGTGTGAAGTACAAAGAGAAAGTGGTCTAAACACAACTAAGTAAATAGATGTCCTGTAAAAACTTGACTTGATCATGACTTATCGAAATAATTGCCGTTAAACAACTTTTCTTTAGTGCAGCGGTTCTCACTCCCTCTGGCCCGGTGCCTAAGATAACTGATCTGTTTCTGCGCCAAAGCGATGGCAGTCCTGTGATCTTTCTTTACGAGCTGCACCTCTACTGTACGTCAAACCCTGCTGCCTCAGTCACAGCTCCACAAATTCAACCTATGGAGAATTCCCATAACTGTCAAGAAAAACGGGTTTCGCCTCCATCACAGGAAATGAAATATGAACACCGTGGAAGCTTTTGATTTCTGTAACACCCTGATGTGACAACAGATTAAAAAAATACACGTTTTGTCCAAGTGCTGCTTCACTGTGTCGTTAAAAATACTAAATCTCTGGCAGCTTAAATTCAAGAGAGAAGACAAACGAGGAAGGCGCTGATGACAATGAGAACAGATGTGTTTTTAATGGTTTAGGGAGAATAGTTGACATTGAAAGACAAATTGTGCTTAATAACCGTGTCGGTTTAAGTGATTTCATTAGTGGGGAAAAGGACTATATAGATGAAAACAAAGCAGCTGTTCATACTGATCCGTTGTTTGGATCATTTTAAGTAAGATTAAACTTTTTTTTCTAAATTCAAAACAGTAAAACTTTCCTCAAATTTGAAGTTAGAGGATATTTTAGTAGGACAAATCCAGCAGATCTATATAGATAGTCTAGTCAGAATATCTGTATAGGAGTGAAACTAAATTATGATTTTTATTTTCCCAAGAAAAAAATGAAACTATGATCTAAAGCTATTTTTCTCTGAATTAACATCATCAATAATTTAAAATATTACACAGATTCACTTCAACTTTTCTCTGTGAGTGAAACAAATCATGTTTAATTACTGACAAAGCTCTCCATTAAAGGTGGGGTAGGTGATTCACTTCAGAAACACTTTTTGTTATATTCCATGGAATGCTCTTAACATCCCGATAGCAATGAATACATGAAATGCTTTGACAATAAATACATAAAAAAGTCCTCATTGGTCATGTGCGCGTTCGTGTGTGTTGGAGGAGGGGCTCTGTAAGAAAGTCTGAAGGAAGGGGCAGATTTCTTCCGGCTGCGTACTTTCAAATTCTAGCGCACTCGAGCTGGTTTCTCCATTCTTACCTACCCTACCTTTAATAGGACACTTGTGCTTTTCCTTGTGACTTCTTTTGTTATAAAAATAAACCCTCCCGAAAAAAACTTGATAAATACGCTCCAACGGTCTGGGACAGTTGGAGCGTATCAAAGAAATGACACAAAAAGACACAAACAAAAAAGACAGGAAGTGACATGCTCACCCTGGCGAAGTGCTCGGGGTCTCTCAGAAAGACGGTCCTCTCCTTAGCGATACTGTTGCTATGGTAGAACTCCACCAGCTCGTTGAGAGAGGAGAAGAGCTCGTCCCACACGTAGTACTGACAGCTGCGGTCCTGCAGCACCTTGAAGTGCTGAACATGGTCCCCATAACTGCAACACAAACACACAGAAGATTAAACTTAATCCTATCTTAAAGCATGTGATGATTAATGCCAATCACTCAAGCATAGATTAATCACTGAATCATAAATGGTTACAATTAAGATCTCACTCACTGGTCCTGCTCATAAACCAACTTTGTTTCAACTTGTATGAACAAATATAAAGCTGTCACTGCATCAGCACTTTTCCCGTCAAGATGAAGTTACCAACATACGGATGAATAGTTCATGAGAGAATGTATGAGTTTTAATCACGAGACTGGTGTACCGTGACAAAACGTCAACCTTGATTTGTGTACATAATTAATACATAACTTCATTTATCTTTATTTTGGCCTCAACGATGGTCTTGGCCTAACATATGGTTTTCCCTGCTTACACCTAACTAAGAAGTCTTTTTTGAATTGACATCGCTAACCACGTTCAAATCTGCAACAGTGCTTCGGTATGGGAAGTTTTTCATTGACTACTTGAATTCACAGTGTCAAGTAGGTGTTAAAACATTGTTCTTATGTGATGAGTTGGGTAATGAGAATGGCGTGTTTACAGTATGACACCTGAAAAGCTTAAAGGGGCCAAATTATACTTTTGGGGGGTTTTCCCTTTCCCGTAGTGTGTTTATATAGTTTTGCATGTTAATGGTCTGTAAAGGCTAAAATCCCAAAGTTCCCTCCAGAGGGACTTTCTCTCCCACACACTCCCCCCCCTTCCTGAAACGCCTCGATTAATTTGTGGGATATAATCTGGTCTTTCTGTGCATTTTGGACACATTACATTTTAACCAGATTTGGGTTCACAGCCACAGTCTTGACCTTTAGTCCTCAAAGCTTCAGCAATTAGCTCCACAGCTGTCAGCTGTTGGAGCTGGCATGCATTCAGTGCAGTTCTGTTAATTTGCCTCACTGGAGCCACCACTTAATTCTTGTTTTATTTTTAGTTCAATCAGACCAGGTCTGTAGTGAATAATCTGGCACAAACAGTACGAGAGTGGACACATTTACTACATTCTTGAAGAGAAACCCACGTTTATGCTAATTCTAATCCAAACTAATATAAATACAGAATGGAGGCAGTTATAGGAGTCACTTTTTGGTGTGTGTGAGTAATATTTAGAAATGTAAAGAGCAGGAACTGACATTTAGGTGGTCTGCTCTGGTGGTCTGGGGGATTCTGTGCAAAGCAGATGGTATCAAACATAATCCCCATTTAGACATGACTCATTTTCACACAGTGTAATGTATTAGTTTGCATTTTGATGAGTACAGGTTTCCTAGAAGAAGAAACCAAGTGTGTATATATATAAATATTAAATCAGTGGACAAAAATAGCCACAGTGTTAGAGTGCCTGCCTTGTTTTTATGATTAAAAGAGTTTGGCCAGTTTCCGTTGGCAATCATACCTGCTTCCCTATCCTGCTATGCGGTGGTTGCTTAGTAACTTGCCAGCTTATCTTTAGAAATCTGGACACCTCACCATGATCATACGATTATATAACTGCCTCCGATATGCAGCGGAAGTCAATGCAACTCCTCCATCTTTCTAAACACATCACATTTGTGTGGGGCTCAAGTTAATGATGACTAAGATTTAATATCCCATGTTCGGAGAAAAGCTAATTCAGTTAAGGCGTGGTAACACTAATTTCTTTGATATTTTGGCATCATTTGTGTCCCGTAAAAGTTAATAGATTCCTAAAAACAACGCCCTTGCTCACACAATATAGCGCTTGTGTTTTAACTTCTCTGAACTCCTCGCCTATCTAGTCGGACTGGCGCTGCTCCAAGCTTGGGAAAAGTAAATGAGCATCAGCTTGTTTTCAACAGAATTCCTTTCTCTATTCAGACGCCAAGATCTAAACGACTCCCTGATGACTGCATGGCATTCAGCTGACACCTCCACCCTGCCCTTCTTCCTCCGCCTGCTTCTCTGTTTCACCCTGTGTGTCCTTGTTTCCCTCGACTCACCCTTCGTCAGTCCCCCGGAAAATTATAAAACTGTACCAAAAAAGGATGCTTTCTTGCTGAAAACATTCATTCGAGCCAAATGTAAATTAACTTATTTTTGGATTGACACTGTACCCCTCTTTGTAGTCTTTGTAGTCAGCAGTTCTGGTTTTTTCTTTGCCTTTGGGTCTCTCACTCTTCTCTATCATCTGACTTCTATCTATCTTTTCCCTCCCTATCGCAGTTCATCTTGTTATCTCCTCCTCTCTGTCTCCCTCTCCTCTCCTGATTCAGCCCTTTCCCTCCACTGAGTCACACACAAGAATGTGATCCGAATGATCTCCATCAACCCAATCGCCCTCCCCAGTTGTCTGACGCCATCTGCTGCGCCCTACTGGTTGGCTCTGTTACTGCCAGCAGCTGTTTTTGTCCAACTGAGACAAAGCATCGGTACCTCAGAAGATATAAGAGGGTGAATGACAAAGACAGATTTAAAGAGAATTCAGATTCTGTGGAGGTGGGGATTAAGGGCAGGATGTAGACAGGGCCAGGACTTTCCCTTTAGGGGATTCACAATAATGTCGTGAAGAATGAATTGCATCAAACACTAAGAAGGAAGGAAAGGGGAAATGAGATATTCTTTAAGGTTGTGCTGTAGTCAGGCAGAGTTTACACTTCCTGCAACTGTTATGTAACAATGATGTGTCTAACATGTTGTTTTTGGGGTTTTGGAGTCCATTAAAAGTACAAGAATAAAATCCCCATAAATTATACATTTTATCTGTTGTACCGAATACCTCAAGATCCAAAACAATAATGTAAAATGTGAAGGCACTCTTTTGTTCCAGTGGGTTAAGCCTATGTCCTTGTAGAGATTTTCATATGCTGACATGCAGAGACTAAAATAATTCAGACACACACACACACATCCATTATATGGATGGATAATGCAGCTAGGGCATTTTTCAAGTTTGTAAAAGTTGGTTTACACTGTACCAAAAATAAAGTTTTTTCCAGGAAATGGACAGATCTCTGGCAAACTGATATATAGTTACATTGAAACTGCACAAACCACCTTTATTTCAGACTGGCAACCTGAGGTATTATTGTACAACGCATACAATAAATGAAGTTTTTCCTGAAGATACTTTAATAGTAGTGAATGTTGGGAAGCGATCTGTTTAGCATTATTTGAGAGGGATTGTTTGTCTTGAGTTGGACCTATTAATTCTGCATGCTGTGTCAGCAGGGAAAGAAAAATCTAACAAAAACATGGCTGCAGTGTTTCCATACAGCTGACCAAAATCGCTTCAAATATTTATTGAGCAACACTTAGACTACAACATCACCTCTTTACGCTCAATTTGCCCTGTGTTGCAAAAGACTACTCCATCTCTGTGCCACTAGAGTAAACGAGTGCTATTTAAAATGTTAAAAACAAACCATGAGAAGATAACAGGGAGCAATCGTAATAAAAAACACAAAAAGAAACACAGGATTCTATATCAGCTGTATCATACTTTCATCACCTCATGTACCACTTCGTACACACCACAATAAGGTCATACGAACAATGGAAAGATAATAATACTATTTTCACAAACTGCACTTGACCTTTGCTCATATTCAGAGTTGTTGAAATCATTATAAACACTAAGGAACAAACACGTTGATGTCAATACGATTTCTGATTTATATGTAATCATACCAGCAGTGGCTTGTAAAAGTGCAAAAAAAAACACTTAACCCTCCTGTTGTCTTCGGGTCAAATCTGACCGATTTACTACTTTCATCAATCATAACTTTTTTGTTTTACATTCGATTGCATTAAGGCTTTATGATATCCTTCACAGTAGACATTTGAACATGTAAATTGCTGATCACTACTTTCATTGAATTTTGGAGGATTTAATCAACTTTGTAACACCCATGGTGTTCCCGGTCAGTAACCATCCGGATCAGATAAAACACACACACACACACACACACACACACACACACACACACACACACACACACACACACACACACACACACACACACACACACACACACACACACACACACACACACACACACACACACACACACACACACACACACACACACTCTAGATGTGTTCCCCCCCTCTTATGTGCCCAATCCCCCCATGTGAATCACACCTGGCACACACACACAAACACACACAGAACAATTTGACACATTTCCCGCTCTTATGTGCCCATCCCCCACATGGATCACACCTGGCACACGCAATACATGTTCAGTGTCTATTCTTTGTATATTCACTGCAGTTGTTCCTGTATACCAGTAGTCTGATACAATATATACAGTTTGAAAGGGTGTTAAATTACATTTGGTGAGGACCGGTCAAATTTGACCGCGAACACCAAAGTAAGGGGGGGAAAACGAAGACAAAAGGAGGGTTAAGACAAAGGCAATGAGGAAGATAGAAAGCAGATGTAGTGTTTCAGCTATAGAGTGTTAGGGTGATGTGACGTAGACGTCTTTATTAATTATTACCCAGGGACATCAGAGAACCAGTGTGCGTAACGCAGACAACATCTGTCTCAACTTGATCACAAACTCTCTCCCACCACACACACACCAAACACACACACCAAACACACACACTCACTCACAAGTGCCCTCTCATCTCCCTGATCCAGTGTAATTAAGGCCCACAGCGATGGAGAGATTATTTTCTTTTTCCAACTCAAAGGGAAAGGGTGGGAGAGAGATTAAGAGAGAATAAGACAGATTGAAAGAGAAACTGAAATAGATGTGTGGTGATAGAAGAGTGAAAGAGCTATTGTAGAAAAAGAAAAGAGGGCAGAAGTTAGAAATGAAACTTTAACTCGGAGCCAACGTAGTTCAAGATGTTTGAAGGTCACCCCTTTCTCTACACTGACTCTCCATCAATCTAGTATCACTTCCCTGTCCTCTATCTGTCTCTCCTCCTGCTGCCAACTCCCCTTCTTTTCTAATCTGCTGTTCGGTTTCCAAACCTCTGCAGATGTCTGGAATACTTCACACAGTCACGCTG